CAAATAAATAAATAAAATCTTTAAAAAAATAAAAAAAATAAAAAAAATAAATAAAAAAGGAAAAGGATATTATGGTTTTATATATGCAATTCACAACTGATGATATAGCTGATATGGCAAATTAGCGTTTACCTGAAGTGTGGGTGCTTTGAGACTCTTCTGAGAAAATTCTGGAAGACAGAGGATCCCACTATCTATTTGAAACATCTAAAGTAGAAAAAGAAAGCTACAGATGATTTCAAAAGGCTGATTTCTCTCTTCTTACATTCAAAAGTTGTCTTGCTGAGAGATAAGCATTAAAAAACTTAGCCAGACTCCAGATATGCATCATTAAACAATTACCGGTTTTACTTTCTCCCCCTCTTCTTCCACCTCACTTGTCAGAACTTGAATTTTGTTCTTTAGGCTCTGAATATTCCCAGTCATTGACTCTATGGTTTCTACTATTTTATCTACTTCTTCCTGAGTAAGAGATCAGAAAGTTAATGTTTTAAATTAAATACAGTATTAAATAAAACCCAAATTGGTATTAATATACAGATTTCATAAATACCACATATATTGAAAAATTTTTAGAAGAAACTGGTAATTTTTTTTCCTTTTGCAAAATAAACTTCCGAGAAACTAATTTACCAACATACTAATTCATTACATGGAGATTTAATTTCCATGGAACAAGGAGATACAACCCATGTACAAGAATATTTCCTCCATAACTCAGCAAAACTGCTACAATCAGAAATCCTGGAAGACCCGTGTGAATACAGCAGAGCCCAAGGACTGATGGCCTAAAAATCTGCTGTGCTGTGCCTATCTGTCTCTAAGCCACTATGCACCCCTGGGAACCACTCATCTTTTTCTTCTCCGGTTCTGCCTTTTCTAACTCATCACATAGTGGCAGTCATACAGTATGGAGCCTTTTGAGTTTTGCTTCTTTCACTTGTGATTTATAATATGCACTTAAGGTTCCTCCATGTCTCTTTAGGGCCCGATAGCTTATTTCTTTTTAGTGGTGAATAATATTCCATTGTCTGATATCCCATATTTATTTATCCATTCACCTAATGAAGGACATCTTGGTATTCCAACTTTTGGCAATTATGAATACAGCCGCCACAAACATCCATGTGCAATATTCAAACATCCATGTATAATATACCAACATCCATGTACAATATACCAAGGTGCAAGATGGCTGTATCATGTGGTAAGAAGAGGTTTCATTTTGTAAGACACTGCCAAACTGTATTCTAAACTGGTTGTATCATTTAGCATTTCCCACCAGCTATGAGAATTCCTGTTGCTCCACATCCTCATCTGCCTTTGTTGTTGTCCACGTTCTAGATTTTGGCCATTCTAATTCTAGGAAGTGCATATGAAGTCTCCTTTCATCTACAGTTTTCCAGTCCAATTTTTTTGGTTCTTTCCTATTGATTTGTACAGGAAATTAGATAGTTTGCTTTGCAGAATTTGTGGGTCAGGTTTAACCTGTTCCTTGGTCCTGAATTTTCTGTGACTTGGTTTTTGGATTTTAGAGAGTCCTGTCCAATACCAATGTGTGTTACCACATGTATTAGTTTACTGTGCCTGCCCAAAAACCTGCCACATACTTGGTGTCTGAAAACAGAAATTTGTTCTCTCACAGCTCTGGAGAGCAGATGTCCAAAGCAAGGTGTTGGCAGGATAGTGCCCCCCCTGAAATCTCTGAGGGAGAATCCTCTCTTGCCTCTTCCAGCCTCTCCCAGCCTTCCTTGTGGCTGCTTGCTCCAATTTCTGCTTTTTTCACACAGCCTTTTCTTCCATGTCTCCTTCTCTTATTAAGGACACTTTTGTCTCTTTAAGGACTTGACTCTTTGTATTTAGGACCCACCCAAGATAATCCAGGATGATCTCATCTTGAGATCTTTAATTATATCTGGGAAGACTCTCTTTCCAAATAAGGGCACATTTGCACATTCCAGGGCCAGGACTTGGGAATATCATTTTTGGGGACACCATTCAACCCACTATAGAGGGAATGAATAACAACAATGAATAAAGAAAAGTTAATATAATAAGGACTAAAAATTTCCATTGTAGTTAAAAAAAATATTTTGGTCCATTGCTTTGGTTATCTTCTTTGGGTAGTCCTACTATACCTATGCCATATCTTCTATGCTGAGCTTTTACTTTGTCAGTTTTTCTCAACTTCAAAAAAAAATGTTTCTTTTTGATTCTTAAAATTTTCTCCTTTACTATTTATTTTAAGCATTTATTTGTTACATTTGCTTTAATACTTCTAATGTAGTCTGCATATCTAAAAAGCTTTTTCTTTTACTTGTAATTTTTTCCTCAATTCTGTGGCTTCAGTCTTTAGTATGTCTAATGCCGATTTATGATTTTTTCCATACCCTCTACTGTTTTTCTGAATTTCTTTCAGTTTGCTGAAGGATTAGGTTAGTGTTTATCTATTTTGTGAACACACACTTTTAGCATGCTTTTGTTATCTGTGGATTGCCATTTTTTTGTCCTTATTTTTATATATTCTTATGCTAACTCCGGTTGTGAAATCCTATGGCTCTGTTCTTATGCGGAGGTCCATATATATCAAAAACCTAAGCCCTCGCAGTTCCTATACCATCTTCTCAGTCTCAGAGACAGTGCTCACCACTGCCTTTTCTGTAACACCATCACCAAATGAGAGAGCTCAATGAATACAACTTCCGTTATTAGCTGATACAGGTTTTTGAGGTCACCACAAAGAACAGCTCTAGGCTACTGTGGGAAAAGGTAGTGGTTGTAAGTAAGGCACATAACAGAAAACTGATGGATACAGACAAGACCTAAAAACTCCTATTTCAAAGATTCTGTTAGGCCAGTGAAGAACTCTTGTGCCCAAAATGCAAACAGTGCTTCCATTGAGTAACTGGCCATCAAGCAAGCAAACCATAGACTGTTGTAATGCTGTGATATCAGAAATATGTATTTGGTTTTCATCCCTGGTTTCTGACAGAGAGCTTCTAAAATCCTTGTAATCTGTTGAGTGATTGGGGTGACACAGTGACATCCTTTGCTATTCATAATAAACCTCTTTCAACATTACCTGAGAGTTTATGCTAATGAATGATTCAGAGAGGATGAAGGCTGGTTGCCAGAGCAAGCAACCAACTGATTACAGGGTTGGAACTTTCAGCCCCACTCTTGGTCTCTTGGGAAGGGGAGATTTAGTCAATAATCAATTCTGCCTACATGATGAAGCTCTCATAAAAATTTTAAACACTGGATTCAGAGAGCTTTCAAGTTAGTGGAACACCTTGGGAGGCTAGCAAATCATTGAACATGAGGAATGGGTAATGGCAACACCTGATTTATATGTGGAAAATCCACACATTTGGTGTCAGAAGTGTTGAGGATAGAAATTTTTTTTTTCATTTAACTATATTTATGCTTTTTGCTAGAAAACAAATGCCCCTCAGTAGTACAGAAGATCACACTATCATTCACTATCTCTGACCACTTTCAAGTGACTTACTCAAGTATTAAATATTAAGATAACTGCCATGATCACACTTTAAAACCTTTAAAATCACCTTTAAAAAAAAGTCAAATTTCACAAAAAAAGAGTAAGAACATGGTTACCAGGGGCTGGGGAGGGGAGAAAATAGGGAGAGGTTAGTAAAAATATAAATTTTCAGTTATAAGATGAATGAGGTGTGATGATCCAATGTGAAAAACAAGGTGATTATAACTGGGAATACTGTACTGTATATTTAAAATTTGCTGAGAGAGAACTTAAATGTTCTTAACACACATAAAATAAAAAATAAATAATGTGAGGTGAAGGATGTGTTAATTTACCAGATGAGGGAATCCTTCACAATGTGTACATATATCAAATCACTAAATGTACACTTCGAATATCTTATAATTATAGCCAATAAAGCTGAAATTTTAAAAAAACCTATGTCAGTGATATCCAACTGTTCATTACATGGTGGAACTAGTGTCAGCGCTGAAAATATACTCTTGAAAAGTAGTAACAGGAATAAAAATTCAATATAACCTCACACTAGGAAGAAAGTGAGTTTCTATTTATAAAATATGCAATTTATTAATCCATAATATACATAAGTTATAATATATGTAATTAACTTATAATATATCTAAATTTGTTGCTCAGCATCTAATGCACCCAATGTTATTCTCAATCATATGCAAAAACTGGAATAAATTGTGATTTTTGAATTATTAGAAATCCCTGGGGATGCATTCCTTGCATAAACTACTACCAATCCTGCATTTTCTAAATTGCTAACAAAGACCTAAGGACCATCTTCTACACAGTACTTTGAAATGGCTAAGGGATGTATGGTCTAATCAACTTTAGTCTTAATAACTACTTAATAAGCCCTGTAAGTTTGTTTCTCTTAACTGTTCAAGTATCCACTAACTAAAAGCCTGAAGTTAGTCATAATACCTAATGTTATCTCCCATTATCTTCTGCAAGATAATGATTGAGAATCAGAATCTGCAGTTGGACTAAGGTGTGCATCATAACTTTAAGCAGTTTGTCTAAGGTTCAGCTAAAAATAGGTCTCTTTTTCACATTTGTATAATGAGATCATACAGCTCACACCTCTTGAAGTTGTTTTGAGAATTAAGGGATATAGCTACAAGTGCCTAGAGCAGTACCTAGAACACATTAAACCCTCGTTACATGTTAGCCATACGATAATAACAATTAGTATAAAAGAAGAATTTAATGAAAACCCTGTTCTAAGATCTAGTATTTATTATTCAGAGAATATCATGATAGTTAAAAAAATTTCTTATTCTCTTCCTCTTTCTCCTAACTCTCTAATTATGGACTCCCTGTTCAAATTTTATATCTGCAATAATGCCAGACCTTCTTCATTAGCTCTGTGCTGTGCTCTTTCCATTTTCAGTAGATTTGACACGTTAGTTAAATCTTTCAGCTTTTTGGGAGTGACATTAAGGGTTTTACATAGCTGTAGCAATCTTAGGAATAATAAAAAAATATTATCATAATTATAATATGAATATAATGTAATAATTATTAATAGTTATTAATAATTAATATAATATTATAATTATAATAGTATAATAATAAAATTATGTTTACTTTTTTAGAACCATTTTTATTTTGTTTTGTTTTGTTGTGTTTTGAACAGTGTTTGCTGCCATCTTTTTTCTGTCCTCATATTCTCAAGGGCTATTATATTCTTTTATTACCAGTAGCTAACATTAGCAGTGACTCAGCCATAAAAAGCTGTGACACATTGTATAAGGTAGGAGAGCTCTGCTGATCTAGGAGAAGGCTTCTGCAATAGCTTTATGTTGTTAGAAGCCACTTATCTTGGGTGTTTCTGAGTTTCTTCCTTCTGGGTTCTGGCACCCTTTCGGTTGGTTGTTGACTTAGTATGTCTTTTCCCTGGGGGTTATATTCCAGTTGCTGAGGTGCCTTGGGTGGCAGTAATCTGGATAATGAAGGCAGGCAAAGCAATCTGGCAAAGTATGTCAGAGATTTGCCAGAGTGTGAAAATATAATTCCCCTAAAGAGAGCTCAGACAAAGCCTCTCTGTTCCTCAGTCTTTTCAGCAGGCCGTGCTTGGTGTTCTTCTAGAGCCAGGACCAGAAAGAACTCAATGTGTCTGCTAACATGCTTGCAGCTCATGGGGGACAAGGGAGACCCACCTCACCTCAGGAATGCTCAGCTGAGAAGATAAATTACCATTCCCTGGGGATTCACAAACCTCTGCAAACCAATAGTTCTCAAACCTCTCCTCCTTGGGTCTCTGCCACCTGCCTCCAAATTCTCATCAAACACAGAGGAGGGAACTTCTCTATCAGCTTTTCTTTCCTTCTTTGAATCCACGGTCTTCCATCCTCCAGTTAAACAGCAGGACCAGTTACTGCTCAGCTCAGCCTTGTAGTTTGATTAGAAATATAGGATGAATGGTGCCTGTCTGGCTCAGTGAGTATAACATGTGACACTTTACCTCAAGGTCATGAGTTCAA